ACTGCAAAAGTATTGTCATTCACTGGAATTGATATTACTGGGAGCAGTGGTGGTGACTGGGAGTCAGAAGCGATACCTATGGTGGCTCGTGCGATATTATTAAAATACCTTCCACCTAAGGATGGGCATTTCCGCGTTGGTTAATTGCGAATTTGTCAAACAAGTATTGAAAGCCGAGGGGATGTACGTACACATAATTCCACGTCGCTCGCACCACTCGCTTATTAAATCCGAATAAATTCGTGGAGGCTATAATTTCGTTGCCCCTCCCCAATGGTACTTGCAATCGGTAACTCCACGACTGCTCGCATGAAAAGCTTTAGCCTACTATATTATGCAAATCGACGGCTATTCCATTAGTTTTACAAATAAATACAGCAATGGCAATGCCAAGCCGACCAAGCACAACGCGCCTCCACCGTCTTTCTAAAACTCTCGAGTTTCGCGGATAATGATTATAACAACAACAACAACAACAACAACAACAACAACAACAACAACAACAACAACAACAACAACAATAATTATAATAATAACAACGACGAAGACAACGACGACAATAACGACGACAACAACGACAACAACAATAATAATAATAATTCGAGCTTTAATAGAGCATACAGCGAGAATACCAGTAGTTCTCCCGTCGTTAAAGAAAATAAGCGTTCGATACACCTACGACTCATTGTCATTTGTACCATTGGCTTACGAGTTGTCAGGCCAGGGCACGCATTAAAATCTAAATGTAAAACGTCCCGTTTAGTCGGTCGCTATTTTGCCAATCATGATCCGGTAAATTACATTGCGGATCTCATACCATAAATCCAAATGGGACTTATTATCGGCAGATGACTCCACAACAATCGTAAGCGGCGCGCTCGTAAGAAAAAGCGGATTCGAGTGATAGGGATCTTAGGTCTCGTCGGCCGCGACCGGCAACAGACAACGAGCACCTCGCCACTGCCAATATCCTCAATGACAGCACCTCCTCTCCCGTACCGTTCGCCATCCTTACCGATTAACGCCCTCGGCAGTTCCTGGCCCGCTTCCGGTCTCGGCCGAGCGGCGCGCGTACACACGCGCACTGGACCTAAGCGCAGCTCATCGCCCGGGCGTCCTTCCAGGCCCGATGGACGGGGCACCTCGACGACCGGGGCCACCAAGGGAACGAGCCGACAACGAGAGGTGCACCTTGGGAGTAGACAGGGCCGTATATGGCGCGGCGCGACGCAGACGACTTGCGCTACCCACCGCCACAACTTGAAAGTCTGGGTCAGTGCTCGAGGAGAGGCGGCGGTGGCGGTGGCGGTGGCGGTGGCGGTGGCGGCAGCGGCGGCAAGCTGTGGCTACGACTGTGACTACGGCTCTGGCTCAGGCTCTGGCTCAGGCTCTGGCTCAGGCTCTGGCTGCGGCTCTGGCTGCGGCTACGACAGCGCGGAGGTGCCTTCGCGGCACGAGCGAATTTCACGGATTGTCTCGTGGCGACGGCGCGAAATGACTCTTTCCTTTGCGCGCTCCGAGTTCTCCGTCCGTCCGCGACTCTCTCGGCCTCGTGGTGGGAGGGAGGCCCGGGGGCCGGGGCTTGGAGAGGGAGAGGGCAGCCGCCACCAGCGAGATTCGCTTCTGCGTCCGGATCCCCCTCTCCCACGCCATCGCCCGCCCGCTCACTCACTCTCTCTCTCTCTCTCTCTCTCTCTCTCTCTCTCTATCTCTCTCTATCTCTCTCTCGCTCTCTCTTGCTCTCACGCGCACACACACACACTCTCTCTCTAGGGCTGCGCGCGGGCGCGCGTGTACATACTACTCCCGTTGGGCGTCCCGGGCGGCGCTTTTTGCCGCCTGCGCCTTAATCGGGCTTTTCACGCGCGAGGGAGCGCTGGAATGCGCAGGAGATGCGCCTCGCGTGCGTATGTAAAGTAGCCGGAGCCGATCTCTCGTGATGAGCCTCACCGTGGCAGCCGAGCGGCGGTTGGCCCTCGAGGCCGCGCTTTCGTGACGTCGTCCTTCGACGCCGCGGCGCTCGGAATACGCATCGCGTGCTCACACAATGCGAGGAATGCGCGCCGAGACGCCACTGAGGGAGAGATAGAGAGAGAGAGAGAGAGAGAGAGAGAGAGAG